CGCACGTCCTAATTTGTAATCCATTGCCTTAGCCTTAATTCAGCCTTCTCTTTCTAGTCCAAGCTTTTTGTTATAGAATTGTATAGAATTTGTTATAAAATCACTTTCCGCAAACATTTACGTCACCATACAAAACAAGTAAGGGTCAAGTCTCCACAGCAAGACGTGCTGACTTGGATCAAGAACAAGACATCCATGTGAGATGCCAGAACAGTTGCTTTCACGTGGCTGTGCGCTGGTTCTGAAATGAGGCTAGGCAGCCAGTTCTTGGTAAATTCCCACCACTTTCCATGAGCACCTGTTACATACAAATACAGATTGTGACCCTTGGCTTTTCTGTACTGTATCTAAGCACAACTGTACAAACTGGATTTCCCGAAGGTGGTGAGGCAGGCTGGGGCACTCAGAAAAGCTGAGGTGAGACTGCCGGGCATGATGAAGCTGGAGACAGCAGTTGTGGGTATCTAGTTTGCGGGTGGGAGGTGGAGAGGGCTTGCTGCTGTGGTTCCCGGCTACCCACAAAAAGAGATGAGCATGTTTAGTTCAGTGCGCACCTGGCTTACACGTCAAAGAAAAAAAGTGTCTTGTGGCTGAGAACTGGAGATGGCCAGAGTTCACAGATCATCCAAATTTTTGCCCCAAACCCCAAATCACCTGCTATGCCACAGCTCTGGCAGAACTGCCATTTGGATTTGTATCAGAACAGAAGTTGAGTTAAAATCAAGTGTTTTGGAATCTGTACCGAATTGCCAGAAATATTCCCTGACTGTTCTGCCTTTTACCGCGCTGATGTTTTAAAAACTTTTTGGTGAACATGAGCACTGGCTACAGTGGTGTAAGCCAGGTTACAAAAGAACGGCCATTTGTATTCAATGCAGACTAAAAAGCAATGGGAACCCATGGGAAAAACGAGACTATAATAGTGCGAGTGGCAGATTTAGAGTGCCCTGTGCGTGATTGTGACGCAACATCCACAGCAGCACTTGCTTAGGGGACAAAGTCTCAGTGAAATGTTGAAGACTGAGAATGACAGAGGGAGTTTGGAATTTTAGAGTGGTTGCATGTCTGTAATAATAAAATTGTTTAATTCCCATTTAAGGCTAATTTAATGAGACCAGGTAATTCAAGGTGTAATGAGTTACTAAAAATGTTCTCAATCAGTCCAGCTCAGTAGTGGCCAAAGTTACTGTCATTTAATTGTTGGACTTGGCTCATTTCACACTGGACAGGCACTCGGAAGCAGGCGCAAGGACTTGTGAAACAGCTCTTTTTCCCTAGAGAGATCAGTAAATATTTAAGCTTGAGGTTTCCAAATACACCTGCACGAGTTGGGGGCCACCTTCCCTCCGAAACTCCTCTCTTGGGGGCTCCTAAAATTCCGGCTGCAGAGCTGTGAGTCTACGATCGCAAGAGTCCTTCCCCAGCCGGGCCCCGACTGCGCACCACAGCCTCCCACGGCGCTCCCCCCCACAAATCCCCCGGGCCTCCCCGCGTCC